GGGCCCCAAGGCCAAGAAGAGCAACGCGGGCATCCGGCGGCCGGAGAAGCCGCCCTACTCCTACATCGCGCTGATCGTCATGGCCATCCAGAGCTCGCCCTCCAAGCGCCTGACGCTGAGCGAGATCTACCAGTTCCTGCAGAGCCGCTTCCCCTTCTTCCGCGGCTCCTACCAGGGCTGGAAGAACTCGGTGCGCCACAACCTCTCGCTCAACGAGTGCTTCATCAAGCTGCCCAAGGGGCTGGGCCGCCCGGGCAAGGGCCACTACTGGACCATCGACCCGGCCAGCGAGTTCATGTTCGAGGAGGGCTCGTTCCGCCGCCGCCCGCGGGGCTTCAGGAGGAAATGCCAGGCGCTGAAGCCCATGTACAGCATGATGAACGGCCTGGGCTTCAACCACCTCCCCGACGGCTACGGCTTCCAGGGCTCGGCCGGGGCCATCTCCTGCCCGCCCAACAGCCTGGCGCTGGAGGGCGGCTTGGGCATGATGAACGGGCACCTGCCGGCCAACGTGGACAGCATGGGGCTGGCGGGACACTCCGTGCCCCACCTGCCCTCCAACGCCGCCCACTCCTACATGGGCGGCTCGGCCGGCGCCGACTACCCGCACCCCGACGGCTCGGTGCCCGCCTCGCCCCTGCTGGCGGGCGGCGGGGTGATGGAGCCGCACTCGGTCTACTCCAGCTCGGCCCCCGCCTGGGCGCCCCCCGCCTCGGCCGCCCTCAACAGCGGCGCTTCGTACATCAAGCAGCAGCCGCTGTCGCCCTGCAACCCCGCGGCCAACGCGCTCTCCTCCGGCCTGTCCACGCACTCCCTGGACCAGAGCTACCTGCACCAGAACAGCCACAACGCCGCCGAGCTGCAAGGTGAGCGAGCCCGGGACTGGAGGGGAGAGCCGGGGGGCACGTGTGTGCGGAGGGCCGCTTCCAGGCACCTGGCTGCCGCGCGCGGGTGCAAGCGGCCGGGCACACACGGGGTTTTTTCGTGCAGCTGATGCATGTGTGCAAGCGATCGCATGCAACGTACGTGCACGAATGCGCAAACGATCGGGTGTGTTATACATGCCGCTTACATGTAGCTGATTAAGGCACACGTGTGTGAGCGATTGGGTCTACTACACATACACTGATCGAGGCACATTTGTGCAAGCGATCGGATATACAACACATGCCGCTTACATGTAGTGAATCAAGACACACATGTGCAAGCGATCGGGTATGTAGCCGATCGAGGCACGTGTGTGCAAGCGATCGCGTGCAATTTACGTGCAGAAGATCAAGGCACGAGTGTGCAAGCGATCGGATATATTACACATGCCGCTTACATGTAGTGAATCAAGACACACATGTGCAAGCGATCGGGTATGTAGCCGATCGAGGCACATGTGTGCAAGCGATCGCGTGCAGTTCACATGAAGAAAACCAAGGCACAAGTGTGCAAGCGATGGGGTGTACCACACACGCCACCCCACGCAGCAGCTCCAGGCCCCTGCCCGCCGCTCCTACAACGCACACGCGGAAGGGACCGGGCCGCAGCCGCGCGGCTCCCTCGGCCCGCGGGGGCCCCTTAGCCCCGGTCTCCCACTCCCATGATCATCCCCAGCCTGGGGCAGGCCCAGCTTTTCCCTTGCCCGTCGCCGGAGCAGCGCTGAGAGGCCTTTCCCAGTGGATAAGCAGGGGGCCGCTGCCGGGGACGGCTCCTTCGTTTGGAGCCAAGCCCCACGAGCCGCAGTTTTTCCACCGCTCTGCTTCCTCCTTTGGTGGCTGCTCTTGGGGCAGGACCGGGGGAGGAGCAGGGATCCGCTGGGGCTGCGGGGAGCCCTGGAGGCCCCCGGTGCTGCCCTGTGCTTGCCCCACTGGGCTGGTCCCAGCCAGGGACATCTGCCCCTGTCTTTGCAAGAGGCCAGCAAGGAAATGTCCCCGGTTCCCTGCCGCTACGGCCCGGGGAAGGCTGTTCTGCCTGGCGGAGCCGGGGAAGGCATTCCCTAGGCCTAATGCCTTGGCTCCGCAGCCTGGGGTCTCCCGCGGGCTCATCCTTCTCTCCATGCGGTTCCTCTTGGGTTGCTTCCCCAGCCAGCGGGTCCGCGCTGCAATCCCCCTGCCCTGCTAGGCCCGGCGCTGCGGGGGAAAGCCGGGCCCTGGCTTTTCCCGCGGAGCAGATCCCAACGAACCGATCCCAACCAAAGCCAGGATCCGCGTTGCCTAACCCCGGCCCGTGGTCCCCTTGCAGGCAGGCAGGCAGGAGATGGGCTGGGCTTGGGGGGACACTCACTCCCGGGGAGTCCTTGCTTTCATGGACTGGCTTGCGTATTTGGATACAGACTGACTTCAGGAGGGGTTGTTGCGGGGGGATCGGTGCTTCCCAGGCCCAGGCGGATTCCTTGCCCCTTGCATTTGGCTTGCCCCCACTGCAGGGGAGCCGAGGCAGCGCGGATCCGAGGCAGGGCCGGCTCTGAAGACGTTTCCCAGCCGCCTTTGGGGACAGGTGTACGCGGGGCTCCCCGGAGCCCCCGGCCCGGGCAGGGCGGTGTGCTGACAGCATGGCTGGGGTGGGGGAACAGGGCTCTGCGCTTGCTGGGGCTGCACATCAGCTGCGAGGCCGGAGCGGGGCAGGTGAGAGCGACACACCGGGCTTCACCCGTCGCAGCCTGCGGGCAGCCGGGGATGCTTGCAGCCGCCGGCTCCCGACGGGGGAAGGCCCTTGCAGGACGATCGCAGCAGCCGGGGGCCCGGCTTAGCACCGCAGGGGGCCCAGAGGCCTCGGGGCCTGCTGCAGTGGACAGGCTGCTGCGGGGTGGGGGCCGAAATGCGCTCTCATTTTTATTCGGTTGCAGCCCGTGAACCCCTTCCCGGCTGGAGAAGCTCCTGCCAACCCCGCTCCTGCTTGGGGATGTCCTGGGGGGGCCGGCACCTGTGCATGCCTCCCCGCCCGATCCGCTGCGCCCGGGTAACCGCGATCTCTCTGGTCTGCCCGCAGGAATCCCGCGCTATCACTCCCAGTCCCCCAGCATGTGCGACAGGAAGGAATTCGTCTTCTCCTTCAACGCCATGGCCTCCTCCTCCATGCACTCGGCAGGGAGCGGATCCTACTACCACCAGCAAGTGACTTACCAAGACATCAAGCCCTGCGTGATGTGATCCGGGGACCACCCCCCACCCCCGGCCCTCCTGCTCCATCCCCGGGCCCAGGACCCAGCCGCGCTCCGCGGGGAAGGCACCTCCCCAGACCCAAGAGCCGCTCTCCAAGCCAGCTACAGACTGCCCCGAGGTCCTTGCTCATGAGGTATATAGCAGCCACCGGCACAAGGGAACCCGCTGAATGAACTGACCCCCACCCCCCAGGGGCCTCTGGGGAGCCGGGGAGCTGGGTGTTGCCTCCCTTCCTGGGGCTGAGTATGGCAGATTCACGTGCCTTGAGCTCTTTTTCCTTCTCTCTAACGCGATCGGTTAGGGAGAAAAAGCAACAGGCCGGAGTTGCCCCCCCACCCCTTGTCCTATTTTGCAAAACTCTTGTTTTATCCGAGCCTTCCTTGCTCGGGGAAGGGAAGGGGAAGGGTTAGGGTGATCCAGCCGCCCCACTAAAGCCTGGGGAGGGGATGGGAGCTCACTAAGCTTCTCCAGGACCAAGAGGAGACCTCTGGCCCACCCCCCGCCTTGCCTTTGCCAAAGGAAAGTTTTCCTTCTCGGTGCCTGGGAGGAAGGATCAATCATCCACCCACCCAAGTCCAGGGCAGTTTGCAGGGACATCACTCCCCCTCCACCTCCTTTGCCGTCTGTCCCCCAAATCCTGCTACGTGTCAGATGCGCCCCTGTGCCACTGAGGGGCTGGGCGAAGAAAAGTCTCTTCCCACTGACTTTCTCCTAGTTTCACTTCTATGCCCTGATTTAGCCAAGGGGGGAAAAAAAATCTCCTTTTATATTTTTTCCCTCTGCAGTAAGGCAAAAAGAAAACCTCCCCGAGGGAGTTGTGTTGTTGCCTGCATAACGCCCCTATGCAGAGAGAATAAGGCACTTTGAAAAAAGAAAGAAAGAAAAGAAAATAGGAAAAAAAAAAAGCAAGGCTCATCCTGTTATTTATTTTTACTTGTTTCTGATTCCTAATAAACGAGACACCAGTAGCCTCAGCTGATCAGTATTAAAGTGGTGTAACTTTGTTGGCAATATTTGCCATATAGATTTTTTTTAGTTAACCATTGTAAATTTAAAACAACGCCGATCTGTGTAAAGACAATCCTCCATATGTTTTATATAAATATATATATAATGAAGGACTATTTTCCCACTGCCCTCACCCCCATCCTCCTCTTCCTCCTCCTCTCCCCCACTTTTTTTTGGCCTGACTTTGTACAGACTGGTGACACCTATTTTAATTTCCTTCTGCACTGTATAAAATTGTAATTATGGGGAGTTTTTTTTTTTGCCCCTTTGTGTACGTTTTGTCCTTAAAAAAAATCGAACCCAAATAAAACATGTATGTTATTTGTACATGGTCTTCACAAGTGTATGAACAGCAAATAAAATAGCATGCGGTATAATATATGTAGTGACATGTTAAGAGTCTGTGACCATCTTGGGGGGGGACATCAGGGCCCCCCGGATCCGAGCTCTATGGGAGTCTCTTTATGGACTTCAACGAGCTTTGGATCAAGCAATCGCGGTTTCCATCGTGTATTATTCGCTTAAAAGCCAACTCCTAGTAGGATGTTAGGATGCTAACATATTTGGACAGAGAAAAAAACCCCCAAACCCTTCTGTTCAGATTTCCATAACTCCTGTCCCCACCGCTCAGAAATAATTAACTGCAAAACCGTTACCACTTCTTTATAACCAATTTACATCTCAGTGCAAATTTGAAAGGTGCTGCTATAGTTTTTGGCGGTTGTTTCCAACAAGTCCTTTATCCCCGTCTAAATTCTGTCCCTTTGCTCTACAGAAATATTTAAAATAATACATAAAACATACTGGAGGTGCACACGTAAAGATAGATAGATAGATAGATAGATAGATAGATAGATAGATAGATAGATAGATAGATATCTTCATCAGCAAGAAATTCCTTCACCATAAAAACCCTGTCGAAAAAAAAATCAGATTTCAGCTTCCCCTAGCAAATCCAAGTCAGGGCTGCCTTTCTATACGATATGATAAGAATATATATTCCCATCATTATATATCTATATTTCTCTCTCTCTCTCTCTGTGTCTCTATATATAGATAGATAGATATTCCCATCTCTATTTGGATAGGGGAAAAAACCCCTCTTCCTCCTGTTCAGGTTTCTGTAACTCCTGTCCTCAGCGCTCAGAATTTTTTTTTGGAAGACCTTTACCATTGATGATATACTCACACCATATCATATCCTATCGATAGGAAAAGTTCCATATATATATATATATATATATATATATATATTCCCTTTCTATACGATGAGAAAATGCATAGCTAGCTAGATGGATATATAGATAGATTTAGATAGATATGGATATATCTATATATATTTATCTGTAATAGATATATAGATCTATCTATACAGATAGATATAAATAGATCTATATACAATTCCTTTATATATTTATTACCTTATATATGTGAGATATATATAATTCTATATTATTCCCTTGTATCTATCTATCTATCTATCTATCTATCTATCTATCTATCTATTATGTAAATAAATGTATAGATATCTAAATCTACTTCTTTTTAGTTTGCTGCTCCCCTCCTCCCTTGCTATTTGCTTTTGAATTTATTTATAGGATGAAGAAATAAATCGGTGGGGTTTTTTGGATGCGGAGAAGGGCTATTCAATTACGGTGAAGGCAGTGGAGGGGCGAGAGGCAGCCCGGCGGGGTGGCGGGTGCCCCGCCGTCGGTAGCTCGCTCCCCAAGCCCCCGGCCCGGGCCCGGCGGGGGTGAGCGAGCCCCTGCGCTGAACAAGCTCCTTGTCCCTTTCTCCTCCCGGCCGGGTCCCCTCTCCCAAGCTGTTTCTTTTCCAGCTTGACACTCGGGACTCCTTGGTTTCGGAGCCCGCTCGGCCCCAAATGGATGGACGGGCGCGGCCAAGTCGTGCCCCCACCACGCTGCTGCTTGTCCCGGGATTGGGGCGTCTCTGCGGGGCTCGTTTGGCGCAGGCCGGGGGCTGGGGCGGGGCCCGGGAGCTGCGCGCCCGAGAGAAGCGCAGCGGGGTGCCGGGGCCCGGCCCGGGGGCGCTGCGGGGCTCCCCGGGACCCTCCGCATCCGCCGGGATTGCTGCTGCCACCGCGGCTCCAGGCTGCCTCCTGCAGCAGGAGCGGCCGGCTCGGGAGAGTCCATTTTGTGCCTAAAAACTGCCTCTGTGTGCTTGTGTGTGTACATGCGTGTGCGCGTGCAAACAGTGCGGGGATAGATCCTCTTTTATGATTGCAATGCGATCTTATTCAATGTGATCTTGCTGCTGTATGTAACACACGTTAGGGGTTATGCATCAGATACAGGACCACCGTAATGCTATGTTGCGGTAATACACGTACATAGCGTATAGGAGACAATGCAGCATCCTCCCCCCAGTGTTTACACACGCGGGCACATATATAACGTACATATATATAACACCTCATCCCCCACTGCTTACGCATAGACATATATATAAATATAGATTCATAGATTCATAGATGTTAGGGCCGGAAGGGACCTCAATAGATCATCGAGTCCGACCCCTTGCATATCTCGCACACCTATGTTATAGGCACACAAACATTTACATGTACATATGTGTGTATACATATATTTATCTCGCACACCTATATAATACATAATCCCCCGATATTTGCACACACACACAAATATAACGCACCTAATCCCCCAATATTTACACACGCACACAAATATAATATATGAGCCCCAATATTTATACACCCACATATAGTACCTAATCCCCCAAGTGTTTGCACGCACGCACATAACGCACAATATACAGTACTTAATCCCCCAATGTTTACATAGACACACATAATGCACACATATATAATCTCCCAACATTTACACACACCCAGACACACAGTCCCTAATCCCCAATGTCTGTAAACGCGGGGTATTATATATGCGTGTGTGCATAGACACATACACGCACACACAACTCATACGTATATAAATACATAATCCCCCACTATTTACACTCAGACATACATAGTCCCTAATCCCTCAGTGTTTACACACACACATACTACCTAATCCTCCAATGTTTACAGACACACACACATATAATACATAATCCCCCCGTATTGACACCGGGTCCGGCTCAGTGCGGGGCAGCGGGACAGGACTGTGAACCAGGAGCGGGGGAAGCAGCCCCGTCCCCGCTCCCCGCACCCGGGGCTGCACCCGCGGCTTCGGCTAGTTGCGGGCGGCCGCGGGGCTGCCCCGGGGCATCTCCCCTTAGCGCAGCCCGTGCAGGCGCGGCACGCAGGGACCGGCCGCACCAGCCCCAGCGCCGGAGCTCGGCCCGGGGGCCGCTGCGGGCCAGTGCAGCCGCGGTGGGGCGGAAAGCTGCTGCTAAAAACACAGCGGGACGCGCAGGGATCCAGCGAGGCTGGCCCGGGGCCGGAGGCCAGCGCGGCTGCGAGCCCAGCCCCGTCCCTGCACCCGCAGGCGCTTCCACTCGGGCCGCTCGCACGCGCACACGTTCCCGGGTGTGCAACTTATATACAGACATGGGCAGCTATGGGTATCTATAGCTACCCCGACAGGCAGACAGATACTGGTATCGATATTTACCCAGACAGACAGTCTGTCTGTCTATCAGACTAGGATAGCTAGCTAGATAGAGTGTAATCAATTTAATTCAGATAGATCTATCTATCTGTCTATCTATCTATCTGGGTAAATATAGACACCAATAGCTATCTATCTAGCTAGATGGGTAAATATAGACACCAATAGCTATCTAGCTATCTATCTATCTATCTAGATGGGTAAATATAGACACCAATATCTATCTATCTATCTAGACGGGTAAATATATTTAACAATATCTACCTATCTGCCTGCCTGCCTATCTATCAAACTAAACAGATAGATCTAATCTACCGGATAAATAGATAGATAGATAGATAGATAGTGTTATCCATTTAATTCACAGTGAAGCCTTCCTATGATCCAGTCTTTTGAAGAACGTCTTTCTGACTACAAGGGCAGTGAAGGCCTGGAAACAGCTATCTGTGGGATCGTCTTCATTACAAGTTTTTTTAAGAACAGGTTAAACAAACATTTGTGGGGGAGCAGCTAGATAAATACCAGCCTGCTTCAGAACAGGTGGATGAGCTGGATGAACTCGTAGCCAAAGTCCTTTCCAGCCCTGTATTGCTTTCCTATGAAGACCTGATGAAGACAGCCTTGCATTAGAAAGCTTGTCTAACTCAATCCAAACTATACAGTTAGTTCAATAAAAGAGACCACCCTAAGAAACCCTTGCCTCTCCCATATATCTTTCCTGGAATATAGAGATAGAGGTAGATACAGATATACTTGTGCAAAATAAATAAAAAGCCATTCATGCACAGTCCATACATATACCTCCACATAACACTATATATACTCTAATTTACTTATATATAATAATGTAGTACAACACTATACATGCATACACACAGATATATGTATACATTTATTAATTTCTGCATCCCTTATATCTATTTAGTTTAGAAACAATTTAAACTACACAGGTCAAAAAGAAATCTCAGCCCTAAAGTATTCTCTGTCTTGCTACCCATCCATCTTTCTATCTAAGTGCATTTCTCTGAGTAGCTCTGCCAGACCTGATCCGTGTTAACATATATTTTAACGTACAACCTCAGGTCAGGGATTTTGCTTCTGAAGCAAATATCTGTACTAGGTGCGCCAAAGATAAAGATCCAGGGGTTAGAAGTTCAAACTCTGCCAAGTGGTTGTTTTCCTTGAAGTCTCCTTATCTTGCTGCAAGATTCATTTTCGGCCTCCAGATTCATTTCAGGCTTGCCTTTTGTGTACACAATAAATCCCTGGAAAGCCTGGGTAGGGGGGAAGGAGAGAAGAGCACCTTGCGAGATGCACACCCAGTCTTCACCAGGCCCATTCCCCAGGAAAGAGTTGGTATGGTTCACCCCCCACCCCCCCCAAAAAAAAAGAAAGAAAGAAGAGAAAAACCTGGAAAAAACAGAACCACCACATACCATGGACACCACATATGCCTCAAGCCAGTGAGCACAGTCTAAACAGACAGCCCGCTCTCCATCTCATCCCCCTATGATCAGGGAGGAAAGGATGGCACTCTATGGGCTTCTTCCATCCCCAACCCTTCTCCTGTTCAGGGTGAGCCCTTTCATTTCCACTCTGCTTTCTTCCAACTGGTACCAAATATTATCCTTGATACTAGGAATGGGAATGACATTAGTGGGTCTGAATTTATGTTCAGGTACAAGCAGGAAAGATGAGCTGGAAATAGCATATGACTCAAGTGTCTCCTGTGTGGTGGGGTCAGACACCACAAAGATTGCTCATCATTT